AACAACATAATTATTGAAAACAGTAAAATTTCTTTGCAGCTTTTGTTCTTAGAACATATTCCATGAAAGATGTACATCTGACTACTATTTTTTCTTGACAAGTGTGAAAAATGTAACTTAAAATAAAGTCACCTACTTAACGTCACTTAAAATAAGTCCTCTCTATAAAAGCCACCACCTTGATACATAATTCAGCTCACTTGTTCTACTTTGCTTTGAAGGATTGTGCTCTTATTTGGACTGAAGTTAGTTTTATAATCTTGTATAATAAACACAATTTCCAAGTCAAATATACTGTCAAGTATATTTCCAAGTCAAAACATATACTGTCAAATTAAGCTGAGACAAAGACTTTCAAACTCAATTTTATGGAAATCCAGTCTATGGACTATCCACAGTCCATAGTTCAGAACAGTGGCAGCAAACCTTTTAGAGCTTTCAGGGGTAACAGACAGCCTGTTGTAGCATGTGTGCCAAAAGTTCACCACCGCTGGTCTACAAGAATGAATTTTCAAATCTCATCTGGCCAGGGCCAGGGATTTAGCTCACTGGTTCCACAGCCTGCCTCACAAACTCAAGGTCCCAAGTTTGATCCCCAGTACCACCCACTGGCCAACACAAAAACCTTGTACCTTCATTAAAACACACACACACACATGCACAGCCTTCCATGGAAAGATTATCAGGGCAATTAAGCAACGATACTGGTTTGAAACCAGATTTTTTAAGAATTACATGGTTTTCCCCAAAACTCAGGTGGCTCAAAAGATTGTTTCCTGTAACACTTGTGATAGAAACCAGAAGAGGATGAGAGCCACACGCTTTCACCAACTGCCTGTGCGAGGGCTGGAGGGCTGAAGGCTGCACTGTAAAAGCACTCTCCATTTAACCTACAGGTTTTAACCAGCTCTGCAATGCTCTCAGGAGTTGTGCTTTTCCAAACTTTCCAGCAGGGAAGTTTCTGTCTTTCTTGTCACTGAGGCCACGCACTGAAATGTCACTAGAAGCACGGAGCCAAAGGAGCAGGCTGAGAACTCAAACTTAGAATATGGACTAGGAAATAGAGGCCCCAAGACTGCTTCTGAGGCTCACAAAGAGCCAAAGTGCTTCACTTCCCAAGCTGCATCTCTGCTCTTACCTTCATCACTCAACCATGCTCCTATGACAGCGCCTTTAAATGTGGCCCTTCTTCAAAATCAGATCTGAATTCAGAAGAGCTTGAAGATGCAACCCTGTCCTTGTGGTGCTCTCCAGAAAGCCACCAGATGGCACAAGAGGACCTATTTGCTTTTCCCGATCCCACACTGGTGCTTGGATTACTGGTGTGATCAGTACGTCTCCAAAATTCAGCATGGCTCAGCAGTATTCTAAGAGCTTCCTGTCAGTTTCACAGAGTCCAGAAGAGCTGACAAGAAAAAGAGGGCAGGTATTCCTTGCTCTCTGGGGGCCTTTCAAATGCTCTGGCCAACTAGATTCATATACACACTCTAACATCTGAGAATCCCTTCTCAGAATGCCTATGACCAAGGCAACAGAATCGCTAGCAACAAAAGCACTTAGTCCACACACTGGGAAAGGTCTTTTCTGTCAATGATCATCAGGGCATAGTTATTTACTGGTCCCTCATAAAGCCTCGCAGGTGATTAACATTTGTGATGAAACCCAGGGCAAATCATTGCTGAAATATCCCATAGCCAGGAAGTAACCAGCAGGTAAAGTGTCCCATCTCCACACTAAAGCTAACATTTCTAAAAGTTTGCCTAGGCTGGTGAGTTCCCATCAACCTCAAACCTTAGCAATTCCCAGCTGGTTCCCCCAGCTGGCAAATGGCTGGCAAGAAAAGTATATGCCTAGATGGGTATTCATCAAAATGCTGCATAATGGGCCAGGCGTGGTGGCACACACCTGTAATCCCAAGACTCAGTAGGGAGGCTAAGGCAGGAGGACTTCTGGATGCATAGTGAGTTCAAGGCCAGCATGAACTACAGTGAGATCCTGTCTCAAAAAACAAACAAAAAACACAAAACAACACTTAACAGACTGGAAAGTGCCAGGCTGCAGAACTCATCCCTTGATCTTACTGAGCCAAGTTGTCCAGGCTGAGCAGTGGCTCCCAAGAGAACCCCACTTGGTCTCCTCTGCAACGTTTCCAAAGGCTTTATCAGGGAGGCACAGGCCAGAAGACGAAAACCACTCCCTCATCCTATGAAGCCTTCCTGAGAAGAATGTCAGGGTTAGAGAGCAGCAAAGGAAACAACATCCTCCCTCATAGCCTCCCTCCTGGATGGGAGAATCAAAGTGTGAGAAAACTCAAAGACCTTTAGATTCCTCTAGGAGACTACTGACTAAATAAAAATTATTAACAATGTGTAGTCGGTTTTATAACATATGTTAACAGTAAAACACACAACAGTAAGAAGGATCAGTGGTGGAAATGCAGTGACGTGCTCCCATTCTCACCCTGTATGTGAAGCATTACAGAATTACTTCAAGGCAGACTATATAATACACGAAGGATGCTTATTGTCATCCCTGTCCCTAAAGCAACTACCAAAATGTAACATACACAGGTTTAACAAGGAAGTAAAATAGAATTCTAAGCAATTAAACATGGTCACATGATTTGGTCAGTAAAATCTGAGTAGGTGCAGCATGTGTCACTTCTGAAACATTTGGGAGCCAGGACTTTTAACCCTGGATGCTCCCTCTCTGCTTTGCGTTGAGATGGCTGGATCAGATGGCGGCTGGTGGATGGTGTGGTACAATGCATTCTATCCCTACTCACTTGCTCACATTAGACGTGCAGCACAAGAAATAAGCCTCGAATTAAGCCTCTGAGGTTTTTGGTGCTGGTGACTATACTAGCATTCCTGGAATAAAAATCCATTTGCTTATAAAGTATTATTCTGTAATGTGTTGGTGGGCTGGGGATTTAGCTTAGTGGTGCTGCCACCTGCCTCAGAAGTGCAAGGTCCCAAGCTCGATCCCAGGTACCAAAAAAAAGAAAAGAACTGACTTGTGTTTTCATTGATACTTTTTTTGAGACAGGGTCCTGGAATTCACTGTGTAGCCCAGGCTGGGTCTCGAACTTACAGCGATCGTCCTGCCTCAGCTTCCCAACTGCTGGGATTACAGGTGTGTACTACCACACCTGGCCTTCGTTGATACTTTTGAGATTGATCCACTGTTTTCTTGCATTTTCACAAACTGTTGAATTTGGATAGTAAACCTTACACTCTACATTCAAATAGTTTGAGATTAGTTTCCTATGCTCTGAAAAAGCTTCAGGAACATTGGTGTCTTTGAGGCTAATAGAATTCTATGTCTCAACTGGGCCTGGAGCTTTTAGGGGGAAGAGAAGGGGCAGCTCTGGGATCTTCTAGTTAATAGAAATAAGTCTGTTTTTATTTTTATCTCTTTGGAGGGTCAGTTTGGATTAAGTAGCATTTTTCCAGAGATTTGATTATTTCATCTAAATTTTCTAATAGACTTACAAAGAATTGGGTGAAGTAGATGATTTATTTCCTTTGATGATTATCTCCTTGTGTATTTGTGCCTTCTCTAGTCTCAATCAGGTTTTCTAATTTTAAATTTTACCCCCACCCCACCCCCACATTGGGAAATGGATACAGGGACTTAGCACTCAACTGTACACTATCCCTTTTTTGAGGTCTTACTAAATCACTTGGGCTGGGCTCAAACTTGGGATCCTCCTGCTTCAGCCTCCCAGAATGCTGGGATTACAGGGGGTTAGCACTGAGCTCTGCTTAGGTTATTTTTCAAACAACCTTATTTATCTATTTAACCATTTTTGCCTTGTAACTATCCAAGGTTTTACTAATAGACATTGGTGTTAACAGCTTTGATGCTCATTCTCTTGAAGGAATAAAGTATGTCCAAAAAAAAAAAGAAAGGTCTGGTGTCAGTGTCATCTAATTTTCTTGTGTAAGCTGTTTTAGTCTTTTTTCTAGGGACCCAGAGGTCTTTTTTTTTTTTTGGATACCTGGAATGAACTCAGGGCTTCAGGCTTGCCAGGCAGGCGCTGTGTTGCTGAGCTAAATCCCCAGCCCGAGGTCTTTTTTCTTTGTTTTTGCAGTGCTGAGGACCAAACCCAGGGCCTTGTGCCACATAACCATATGTAACCACTGAACTACACCCCCAATAGTTTTACTAGGATCTGACACTGGTGAGTTAACTTTCCTAATCTCACCATTGTGTCCTAACAGTGTTTATAGTCAGGTATTTTCTTCTGCAGGGAGGAGGAAAGTTCTGAATTATCCATTTAATTATTAATTTTGTTCCTTTTTTCCTCAATATAAAATCGAATGTTGTTGGCAAGACTGAAAAGACCTGAAACTATAAAATGCCTAGAAGAAAATATAAGGAAAACCTTCATGATATTAGATGGGTAATTTCTTGGATATGACACTAAAGCACAGGTAACAATGGCAAATATAGACATACAGGACTGTAGGAAACTTTAACACTCACGCGTAGCAAAGGGAATAAAATGAATGAAAAGGCAACTTAGAGAAGAAAATATCTGCAAGACATGGATCTGACAAGGGATTAATATCCAGAATATGTAACGCTCAACAATAACAAAGACCAAAATAGACATTTCTCTAAAGAAGACATACAGATGGCCAACCAGTACACAAGATGATGCTTAATATCATTTGCCATCATGGAAATGCAAAGCAAAACCTTGGTCTTTTTTTTTTTTTTTTTTTTTTTTGGTACCAGGGATCAAATACAGAACCCTGCACTTGCCAGGCAGGTGCGGTGCTGCTGAGCTACATTCCTGGCAAAACCTGTTAGTTTTGCTAGTTTAAAAAAACCAAACCAAACCAAAACAGTTGGGTGTGGTGACACATGCCTATAATCCCAGCACTTGGCAAACTGAGGCAGGAGGATCACCACAAATTTGAGGCCAGGCTGAGTTATGCAGCGAGACTCTAAGTCTTAAAACAAAACAATTTAAATAAAAACCCAGAAAATATTAAGTATTGGTAAGGATGGATGTGAAGAAATTGGAACACTGTACATGTTTGTAGGAATACAAAAAGGTGCAGTTGCTATTAAAAACAGTATGTTAAGATCCTCAAAAAAAAATATAATCATCATAGGACTTAATAATCTTTCTGTGAACAGAAAGGGATACAATCAAGACCTGAGAGAGATCTGTATTCCTGCATTCACTGCATTATTCACAATGGCCAAGACATAGAAACAACTTAAATGTCCATCAATAGATGAATGGATAAAGAAAATGTGGTACAGACATACAAATACTATTCAGAATAGGAAATCCTGCCATCCATAACAACCTGGATGAACTTGTAGGAAATTATGCTATGTGAAATAAGCCAGTTACAGTGCATGACTCACTCCACTTTTATGAGGTATCTTTAATCAAACTCACAGAAGTGGAGAACAGAATGGTGACTGCTAGGGGCTGGAGAAAGGAGGATGTGGGGAATTGTTCCAAGCCCTTTCCTTTCACTGCCTGTGACAGCTTCCTTGGGCTAAGCCTTTGCTGATGTTTCTAGGCCCTGCTACTGTGCAGGCTCCCACATTCTTCAGGCAAGTACTTCTTTTCCTATGGCTTAGCTGACTCTCTCTGGCTCAATTTGGCAATCTGTATTTGTCTCCAAGGGCTGCTATAACAAATGACCACAAACTTGGTGCTTAAAACAATATTTATTCTCTCAGTTTTAGAGACCAATGCCTAAAATCCAGGCGTCACCAGACCACAATCCCTGTGGTCTTCAGTACCCTCCATGTGTGGCTTTGGGCTCTGGCTACGTCCAGCTGGCTGGCAGGGATACAGTCTATTCCTGAACCACGCTACAAGTATGTCCCTCATGAACTTATAGCTGAGGTTCCACAGGATCCAAATGCACAGATTCTACGACAGTATCAGCTGTTCAGAGGCCTCCTGGGCTCATTCTTCAGTGTGTTTGACACTTAAAATTCTCACCAAGCAATCTGTAAAAATGCAGGGTGATTTGTGCATTTAAGATGAAGCTGTAGAGATGGGGATTTATAGCTCAGTGGTGCCACTGCCTGCCTTGCAAGCACAAGGACCTGAGTTCCATCCCCGACACCCCCCCCCCAAAAGATGAAGCTATAAGGGTATGGGGAATGTGAGATTATGGACAAACTGCAAAGGTTACAGAGTTAGCCTTCTTCAGTCTAATTCATTCTTCAGAAAAGCCTGAAAAAGAAGCCAACTAATTCACAAAAGCAGAAATAAAAATACAGAAAAGTTTCCAGCAAATAAAATAGTATGAACAAAGTTGGGCCATAACCTCATTTCTGCTTATTCAGAAGAGGGCACCAGGCAGGCCTGTAAGTAACAAGAGTGACTGCAAGCAGGTGACTTTTTCTCTTACTTCCTCTTACCGCTAAGGGGAATTAATACAAGGAGGGAAGATAGTTGCTTCTATGACATAAACATGACCTTCTTGTACACATGAAATGCCTCCCACTGCTGGGCATTCATACAGTTAAATAACCATACCGATAACTTTTAAAGTTTTTAAAACAAAAGCTTTACAAAACCTTAAGGAATAAGTCTTGTGCCTTCTGTACATCCCTGGTCTCCACCTGGCTTCTGTTGTCGGAGATTCAAGCCATAGCTCATGCACAGTCAGTTCCACAGATGGCAGAAGACACTACAAGTCCTTTACTACAGCAATGCCTCTCTCTCTTCTCCTCAGGAGAAATCTGCTTTTGTAGTCACATATGACCACTTGTGCTGATACACCTAGCAGAGGCACTGTCCCATCACATTGCCAGTGTGACCCGGGGGCAGCTGCTCTCTGGAGCACCATCTGCTAGGCCTCGCCGGTGCCACTTCCACTGGCCCCTGAGCCTTTGCTAGATGCTGGAGCTTCTGAAGCACGTGAAGCCTGCTTGGGCAGGCGGATGGGGACATAGATATTTGAGGCACAATGCTCCTTGAAGTACTCTCCTCCCTTTTCTTCATAGTCTTTTCTGGTGACCCAGGCTTCAACATCATCCAGGTGGTCCAAGGCCCAGTCACGAGCACCATACCAGGCATCCAGCACAGGGTTCAAGGCGAGCTGAACCTGAAACAAGAAGTGAATGCTCACTACAAAGGCTCTAGGCACCACGCAAGAATATTCAGCAGAATGAGCTACAGTCTCCTATCTCTGTCCTCAGAAACACACACAGGAGGGACCCACTGAAATCCTAGATGTTGCACAGCTGTCTCTTCACCCTCCAAATGGCTGAGTGCACATTCTGACTCCCATAACAGCAAGCATAAACAGCGTCCCAGGCATGACCTCACAGAACAGACGGGGCTTTTAACAGTGCAAGTCCTGCCACTCTAGGTCAGAGACCAGCTGTCCAGCCTCCTGCTTCACAATGCTGCCAACCACAGTGTCAGGAGAGGCGAGGCAGTGGCTGATGCAAAGCAGTTCTAGCCATGTCAGCAAAAGAATCACGGGAGAGATGACAGCTGGGTAATCAGTGCATTCTTTGTGATGCTGCTGCCCATGCTTAGTTGTCACTGCCACAATTGGCTCAGCACGGGCGTCGGCAGCCCAGGGAGGGTTCTCCTATAATCCTGACCACTGAGAGGAACACGCAAGCTCAAATCGGGCCTCCTGTTTTCAGGAGTCACCTGTCTCACTCCCCACCACCCTCGTACCTCTGTCCCTCCACCAACCACAGAAGTTCCAAGTGGCCTCAGAACTTGGGAAGGCCAGGCCACACAAAACAGAATCAGCATGCACAGAGGGAGAACAGGGGCAAGAAAAGCACAAGCTTTGGAGTCCAAGTGCCTTGGCTGCTTCATAGCAAGGGACTTGTAAAAAGGGCCCCTGCGTAAGATCAGATAACATGATAACAAGTGGATAGCCCACCGCTAGGGCTCAGGACAAGACGGTGAGTAAATAAGGAAGTTGGTACGTTCCTTAGACTATTCTGTCTGGTACCAAGCAGTCAATAAATGCAGCTATTGTTACTACAAGAAGACATGCCAAAAAAAAAAAAAAAAAAAAAAA